TGGTAGCCCAGGCTGGCCTCGAACTCACGGAGATCCGCCTGGCTCTGCCTCCCGAGTGCTGGGATTAAAGGCGTGCGCCACCACCGCCCGGCCCGAGCACACAGCTCTTAATGGTATGTCTCCATCAATTCCCTCCCCTTGGAAGAGAAGATGGAAAGAGCATAAGAACCAGAGGGGATAGAAGACCCCAGGAGAACAAGGCCCTCTAAATCAGTTGAGCAGAGCTCATATGAACTCACAGAGACTGAAGCAGCAGGCACAGGGCTGACACAGCTCTGCAGCAGGTCCTTTGTGTGTGTGTGTGTGTATGTATATATTATATTATAGCCCTTATAACTTTCAGTTATATGAGATTCCTGAGTGTGTGGATGAGTGGGTCTCTGATTCTAGTGCCTTCTTTTGGGGCTCTTTTCCTTCTGTTGGTTTGTCTTGTCCAACTTTGAGATAAGCATCCTAGGACTTGAGATCTTTGGGGTGGTCTTGGAACAAACCCTCACAGACACTGAGGGACAACTGTTTGTAATCCCATTATGTCACAAGCTTTATCATTACATTGTTTAAATCTATAATGTTCTCACAGCCACTGTGGTTAAGTAATTGTAAGTTTCTTTTAAAAATGTTTTAATGTTCTTAATATATATTTTGGCTATATAGTTAGGTGATTACATGTCCCAAATTATTGTATTTTTAGGCAAATTGTTTCTTTGTCATTGTGTGTATTTGTGTCTGGGGTGTTGATAGAATTGTATTAGATTTCTTCTGGTTGGTATATATTCATTATGTCTTTTCCAACTTCTTATCTATGAATTTTTCTGTGTCAAAACAAAACAAAACAAAACAAAACAAAACAAAACAAAACAAAACAAAACAAAACAAAACAAAACAAAACAAGACAAAAAACAATTGGGTCATGTTCCTTTTCTATGGATTGGTATGAATTATTCTTTGAAAGTCTGATTGAATTCTGGCTAAACTCATCTGACCCTGGGCCTCATTATTGCTTATATTTCATTAGTGGTTATGTATATGCTTATATTGCTTATCTGATTTTAATTTTGGTAGGTGGTACATATAGAGAAAACGATCCATTTCTTTAAAATTCTCCAGTTTACTGGAGTACAGATTTTTAAAGTATGTTCTTGTAAATCTTAGGATTTCCTCAGTGTCTGTTGTTCTGTCCCCCTTTCACCTCTAATTTTGTTAATTTGAATCTTCTTTCTCTGTCTTAATTAATTTGGTTAAGGGTTTGTCAATCTTATTTATTTTCTCAAAGATCCAACTCTTCACTTTATTGATTCTTTGTGTTCTTATTATTTTTTTGTTTCTATTTAATCAACTTCAGTCCTGAGTTTGATTTTTCTTTTGGTGTTCTTCTTTTTGTTCTAGAGCTTTGAGGTGTGCTGTTAAGTTGCTAATAGGAGATCTCTCCATTTTTTTTAAATGTAGGCACTTAGTGCTCTGAACTTGCCTCTCACAACTGTCTTCGTATGTTTTGGTATGTTGTGATTTCATTTTTATTCAATTCTAGGCAGTCTTTAATTTCTTTTCCAATTTCTGTCTTGACCCATTCTTCATTCAGTAGAAAGTTGTTCAGTTTCCATGAGTTTGTAGGCTTTCTGTTGTTTCTGTTGTTTTTGAGATCCAGCTTTAATCCATGGTGGTCTGATAGAATGTATGGTGTTTAATGTTTTTGTATATGTTGAGACTTGTTTTGTGCCCAAGTGTGTGGTCAGTTTTGGAGAAAATTCCAAGGGGTGCTGAGAAGAAGGCATATTCTTTGGTGTTTAAGTGAAATGTTCTATAAATATCTGTTAGGTCCATTTGGCTTATGATGTCATTAGTGCCAGCATTTTCTGTTTAGTTTTTGTCTAATGACCTTTCTATCGGTGACAGCAGGGATGTTGAAGTCACCCACTATCACTGTGTGAAGGTAAATAAATGATTTATGTTCTAGTAGTGTTTCTTTAATGAACTTTGGTAACATTGTGTTTGGAGCGTCAATGTTTAGAATTACAATATCCTCTTGGTGGATTTTTTTCTCTGATGAATATGTACTGCCCTTCCCTATTTCTTCTGATTAGTTTTAGTTTGAAGTCAATTTTATCAGATATTAAAATGGATACATCTGTTTGTTTCTTGGGTCCATTTGTTTGGGATATCTTTTACCATCCCTTTACCATGAAGTGATGTCTTTCCTGTATGTTTTGTGCCTTTATTTTTATTTTTCAGAGTTAATATTTTCATTGACTGAGGTATCCATTTCTTCTGCGTTGTCTTTATTGCTTGAGATTCTCTTTTCTCTATCTTGTCTCTGTTGGTGAGGCCTACTTTTGATGTTTTTGTTTGACTTCTTAAATTTTTTATTTACAATTTTATCTTATTTGAATTTTCTTTAGTGGTTCTGCTTATACATCAATGTGTTGAACTATTTTCATTTTTCCATTCTTATTTTTGTATTTTTACAGACTTCATTTAGGGATGCATGCATGTCCTCTTTAGTTCTTTGAACATATTCATAACAGCAATTTTGAGTTCTTTTCTTGTGGTTTAGCTATCTTATATTTCTCTGGGTCTATGATAGTAGAGTTACAGGGTTCTGTTGGAGACGTAGTGTCTTGGCTGTTACTGATCATGTTTTTTGCTCTGGTGTTCAGGCATCTGGGCTTGGGCTAATTGTGATTCTGTGTGTCATCATCTGACCTTGTCTTTGTTGGGTATGCTGTTCCATTCCTTGGTTTGTGTTGCTCTCTTTGGATCTTAGGAAAGTGTTGCGGCTGTGGGTTGCCTGGTAGGGAGTGCTTGTGCATGTTGGTGTGTGGAAGAGATGGGTAGATGCAGGTTAGAAGAAGAGGTTGAGGGGGGCTTCAGGGAAAAGCTAAGGGGATCCTGTTCATGCACAGAGGCAGATCCACAGGAAGTTGGAGATGTATTAAGAACAGGGGATCTGCAAATAGATTGCAGTAAGGCCAATACTTATCTGGAGAGAAAGATGCGACAGGGCTAAGGAAACTCTGAGTGAACCAACAGTTTGAGTCTCCAGTGAATGAAGCAGAGGTAGGAGGATGGGCATCTGTATGCAGGTTGTTACTTGGCTGAGGTTGAGAAGAGAGAGATGGTAATGGAGGACAAGAAGGATAGTATAATTCAACTCATCTACCTACATCCCTGCCAGGGGTGGCCACTGGAGGTCCAGGGTAGACAGTGTTTCTAGGTATCAGGGGCTGACAAGAAGGAGTTGGGATGGGCTAGGCTGGGGACTGAGAGTGCCCATAGGAAGGAAGAAATCTAGGTACACTACAAAGTTTCATGAGTCCCCTGGGAGTGAAGGTAGGATGGGAGGACAGCCCCCTGCAAGAAGTCTGCTACAGGTCTGAGGATGAGACTGGAGAGATAGTATTGAAGGACAGGAAGGAGAGTGGACATCACCTACCTGAGTCCCGGTCTGGTGTGACTACTGGAGATCTCAGGTAGAAAGTGTTTCTAGGTATTGGTGTCTTACTCAGTGGAACAGGAATGGGTTAGAAATGTGTGTGTGGGACTGAGAAGGTCCACAGGAAGGCAGAAAGCTTGGTCTATTGCATGCTATGGTGGAGTCTAGATGGAATGAGGATTGAGTGGGAGGACAGGGGCCCCTGAAAACGATCTGCTACTGGGCTGGACTGGGAAAATTGTCATGGAGAACACAAAGGAGAGTGAAAGTAGCCTTACCAGATTCCCAGCCAGGCATGACCACTGGGTTCCCAGGTAGAGGGAGTTGCTAAGTATAAGTGGCTGATACGAAGGGACAGGGAGAGAGAAGAGAGCTGGTTCAGCTGCAAAGTTTGGCTGAGCCCACAGGGAATCACTTTTCTTTTTTGAATGCATTTATTTGTATATATGAGGTTTTTGACATGAAGTTACATTGTACATATAAATGAGGCAGTGGTTGCTGTAGCAGAGTGGACTACATAACATCTTACATCGTTATACTATTTTTTATGACATGAAAGCCAAAATCTACTTGTTTAATACAAATCCCCAACACAATGCAGTTTTATTGCTTTTAATCCTCATATTTCACATCAGTTCTCTAGACTGGTTAACCTATTTTTTTTTTGTGTCCTTGACTTTCACCTCTCATTTCCTCTCCCTTTTCCTCCTGTTCCCCTGTCTGTTGTCCATGGCAATCACTATTATATTCCCCATTTTTGTGTATTAGAGCTTGATTTATACACACGCACCCCACATGTTCACAAGATCATATGCTATTATGCCTGGCTTGTTTTAATTAGCAAAGCTATTCACTTTCCAGGTCCATCCATGTTGTAGTAGAAAATGGAAAGATTGCCTTCTTTTGTAAGACTGAACACCATTTCAGTAGTGTATGTATGTCTTTGTTAAGGTTTTTATTAGTGTGAAGAGACACCATAACCATGGTAGCTCTTATAAAGAAAACATTTAATTGGGGTGGCTTGCTTACAGTTTCAGAGGTTAGGTCCATTATCATCATGATGGGGAGCATGGCAGTGTGTAGGCAGATGTGGTGCTAGAGCTGAGAGTGCTACATCTTGCAGAAAACAGGAAATCGACTGTGACACTGGGTGGTATCCCGAGCATAGGAAATCTCAAAGCCTGCCCCAACAGTGACACACTTCCTCCAACAAGGCCATATCCATTACAACAAAGTCACACCTCCGAATAGTGCCGTCCCCTATGAGATTATGGGGGCCAATTACATTCAAACTACCACAATGTGTATGCCATATTTTCCTTGTTCACTGATACACACTTCGGTGGTCTCTATGAGTTAGCTACTTTGAGTAATGCTGCAATGAACATAGGGTACTATTACTTATCAGGAGATGAGATACTTCTGTAAACAAAACTTTAAATTTTTTGATAGCCCCCCCCCCATACAGAAGATCAAAGCAGTGGCTCATATGTGCTAAGCATTGCAACCCACTACTGAGCCACATACCTGACCTCTGGTAATGTTTGGAGTTTTCCAATTTCTGTGCCTGTTTGTTTTTTCCCCCCCTCAGGCAGTTGAGCTGCTTGTTAATTAATGTAAAACATTTTCCTTATACTAGCAATCTCGTCTCTCTTTAAAGCTTTACTTAGAATATTAAAAAAGATCATGCTTATAGAAGAACTAAGACAATTTTAATAGGTAGGGTCTAAGTTGGGTTGTTGTAGCTAGGAAGCCATAAATAACAACTTGAGGTAAGCAGACATTTGTTTTTCTCTGATGTAGCAGAGCAGAGGCAGGCAAACCATTTCGAGGTAGTAGGTGCATTTGATCCAGAACAGTGTTCAAGGACTAGGCCCTCTCTGGTCCATTTTATTTTAGGATGTTTCCCTCATGTGCATGGGCAAAGTTATCTTACCCACATTACATTTTCATTGAAGGCTAAAGGGGAGAGGTGAGGTCTCATGCTACAGTCATTTCTGCCCCTTTCCTAATGACTTAAACTTAGTCTTCTGATACGTGGTCTGAAGGGGAAGGCTGGGAAGCATAGCCATTGCTGTCATGCCGTTAACTACCTGAAACTCATGATTTCTATTTTGAAAAATAGAAGGGAAATATGATGTTGCACATTTAATAGTCATTT